GAATCATGATTCATCGTGAAGAAGACGCGTGGAAACAGACGGGCGCCCAATTGTCCGTTCTTCCTTTCCTACAAGACTACAAGTCTAAGTCTAAGTCGATCCAATGAATGGACCAGCGAAAACAGACAAATGGATTTAACACCGAAAACATGCATTCCCTATGAAAGCTCTTGAAAGGCCCTTCAGGTATACCGACTGAAATTGCACCGAGCCAAAACCCCCACTTCCAAGTAAGTTCCTTTCGTTAAATCCATTTGTCCATTCTTCTTTTCTTTACAAGTCTAAGTCGCTGCATTCGGCTACTCGCGAATTTCCTCCCCCAGGGCGCAATCCCAGTCTTTGTCAACTTGTTCTGCCTTCATAAATTGTCACTGCAACGAATTATTCAATCATTTCAAGTTTTCAATCTCGGGGGGAAAAAAGGAAAACGAAAAACACTTTCTGTTTTCAGTGCTCATGGAGAGACGTTTCCTCTTGTCAATAACGTTGTTGCTGCTGCAGTACAGTTCTATAGGCACAATAGCTGCAGCACAAACCAATATCACCACGGACCAGTCTGCTCTTCTTGCTCTGAAAGCCCATGTCACTAGTGACCCTCACAACATCTTGGTCAATTGGTCAACGACCACCTCTGTTTGCCATTGGGCTGGCGCTGTTTGTGGTGCTCGTCACCTCAGAGTAGCATCATTGAATCTCTCGTACATGGATCTCACAGGCACCATTCCACCATACTTAGGCAACCTCTCATTTCTTGTTTCGCTGGACTTAAGAAACAACAGTTTTCATGGCACCCTGCCCCACGAATTGTCTTATTTGCGTCGCCTCAAGTTTATTAACTTCCGATTCAACAATTTTATGGGATCCATTCCATCGTGGTTTGGGTCCTTCCCCAAACTTCAAATCTTCGGTTTGCGTGGCAATCAGTTTTCAGGTTCCATACCTGCGACTATCTTCAACTTGTCTACATTGCAACACATAAATCTAAGCGAAAACCAACTATCAGGTACGTATGTGTCAACAAGGTATCTAGACTCTATTGTTGATCTATCATTATGTTTCAACATCTTGTTATTAATCTATAAGCCTAATATGTTTTTTTTTTCTTTAGAAAATTATGCTAATTTTTTCTTACTTGCAGGTCATCCAATACTTAAAAACTTTCACTTGAATAGATTATGTATTTGGTTTTTAATTTCAAGAATGGTTGAGTCTATAATGTAGGTTTTTTTTAATCTACTCAGAAAGTTTTTACAAAACTTACATTTATGAAACTAGTGAGTACATGTTGTAGACTACAAAAATAAAACTAGATAGATGATAGATTGTAAATAATAGGGAATATGTATGACCTTTTTCACATGGAGGCCCATTATAACATGATATTTTATAAATATAAAAAAACACCCTTCAAATCTAATACTATAAAAAAATTCCATATTGTATCTTCAAGTGAAAAAAATTGTAACATATTAATAAACCAATTAGAAAGTGACAAAGTGACTAGTTGAGAGTTTTTCCCCCCTCCAAAATAGCCACTCTAACAGCTTTTCTATAAATTATGCAGTGTGGTGTTTTTTCTAATTTCATTTATTTACATGTATTCTAAGTCTTTGTTTGGCATACTTAACAGGGGCGATACCCAGAGAAATAGGGAACTTAACAATGTTGAGGAGGATATACCTCGACTCCAACAATTTCAATGGTATATATATTTGTTGCATTGCCTTGATGTGATACAGTTATATATGACTCTGCTTTTGTTGCAATGCATTATATGTGCATAAAACATGAATTTAACATATAAATGTGCACATATCGTAATGATTTTTCAGAAATTCCAAAAGAGATTGGCTTTTTAGATCATGTGGAAGAGTTGTTTGTACAAAACAATGCCCTAAAAGGCCCTGTTCCTATGGTTGTTTTCAACATGTCTTCTTTGACTACGTTGACTCTATTTGAAAACAACTTGAGTGGTGGTCTTCCAGACAATATATGCCAACATCTTCCTAGTCTTCAAGAGTTGAATTTGGGTCGCAACCAGTTTGATGGTCCGCTTCCATCCAAATTATGGCAATGCAGAGAGCTTCTTATACTTCGTTTGGGGGCAAACAATTTCAGTGGTAATTGATATTTCATTATGTTAATCCAATTATGATTTATCTTTTTTATTTTGGTTGCATAATTTATCTTTATTTAACTATTTCATATTTTAGTAAATGAGGGAGATAGTTAATCATGAATATAACAATTTTTTGTCGGAATCGCTGGAAAATTCATTAGAATCAAATAGCAAGGTTTACAATTAAGAATTTAACATATTGACTTGCCTAATAAACGTTCTGTCTAAGTCAGTATGTTCAAATCTAAGGTTAACCAAAGTAAGAAGAAGAAAAAGAAGAAGAGGTACAAAGACATGCAAACAAAAACGTGTTTTGCTCAAGGGAATATTACATTTTGTAAACCATATATTTTCATCCCCAAATTATGGCCAGATTTCTTAATTTGGTTCAAACACAAAACTTTTTAGAGATTTCCGTGCAAATATTGTTGTATTAATTAATATTATGAGTGTGACATTTTATACTAAAGGTCATGAACAAGTAGATAACGTTAGATTAGATTAATAATCTGAATGGCTTCATCCCATCCTCAATCTTCAATATCTCCATGATATAAAAAAATAGATTGAATTGCCGTTTCTATCTAAGTCAATATTCTTTTCAACTAATGCTAATGCTACAACATTTGTGAAATTGTGGCAGGCACTATACCAAACAAGATCGATGATCTTCCAAATTTAGAGTTGTTGTCATTCGAAGGTAACAATCTCAATGGCCTCATCCCATCCTCAATCTTCAATATCTCCATGATGAGGACATTGGGGCTTTCTTTTAATCAGCTATCGGGTAGCCTCCCAGCAAACATAGGCCTTGGGCTTCCAAACATACAACACCTTTTTATAGCAAAAAATGACCTCAGCGGAGTAATCCCCAACCTCTCCAATGCTTCTACGCTCACCCAGATAGATTTGGGCATAAACTCACTTACAGGGTTTATTCCGAGGACACTCTGTGCCTTAACAAACCTTCAGCGGCTTAACTTAAAAATGAATAATTTGACGATTGATACTTCCACTCTCTCTTGTTTGGTTAATCTTAGAAATTTGACATCCCTAGTTTTGGCAAATAATCCGTTAAATGCCAGACTTGATGATTCCTTCCAGAATTGCTCTACATCGTCGCTTCAATATATTAAATTACTCAGTTGCAGCATGAGGGGTAATATTCCCATTGGTATTGGCAACTTGAGCAGCTTGATACACTTGAGCCTAAGAGACAATAAATTGAGTGGATCAATTCCAACTTCTGTGGGGGCACTAAGGAATCTCCAAGGTTTGTATTTGGATGGTAACAAGTTGCAAGGATACATCCCAAATGAACTTTGTCAACTAGATTACCTAGCTTACTTATCTCTGGGTGGAAATCAACTCTCTGGTTCTATACCTTCTTGCTTGGGCAATCTAGCCGGATCTCTTAGAAATCTATCACTGGAGTCCAATTCATTGAGTTCCACAATACCATCTACTCTCTGAAGACTGGCCTATATCTTATATGTAAACTTATCATCCAATTCTCTAATTGGACCTCTCTCACAAGATATTGCAGAGTTGAAAGTTGTGGTAGGCGTAGATTTATCAGATAACCATTTATCTAGTGTTATACCAAGCACTATTGGGGGTCTTTTGGATTTGAAAAATATATCCTTGGCAAATAATAATTTAGATGGTCCTACCAAGTTCATTTCAGCACTTGATCAGCCTGGAATTCTTGGATTTATCCAGAAACAATCTGTCTAGCGTGATCCCAAGGTCTTTAGAAGCTCTCTTACATCTCAACTACTTGGATTTGTCCTTCAACATGCTCCAAGGAGAAATTCCAACAGGTGGACCCTTCCAAAACTTCTCCACTCAATCATTTGTCTCAAACAGTGCACTTTGTGGTGCAGCTCGATTTCATGTTCCACCATGCAAAAATAGTACACTTGAACCAAATTGGAAGAAATATAAATATATCATCGCAGGGATCATATCAGTAGTTCTCCTGGTCACCTCTGTATCTATCTTTCTACTACGGAGGAAAAGGAATGTAGAAGTTCCAATAGAGGCTACCTTGTTCTCTGAACTTCATTGCAGAAGAGTTTCACACCTTGAACTTCTAAGGGGGACGGATGGATTTAATGAAAATAACTTACTTGGAAGTGGGGGTTTTGGCTCAGTATATAAAGGGACACTTTTAGATGGAATAGATGTAGCAATAAAGGTTTTCAATTTGCAGCTAGAAGGGGCTTTCAAGAGTTTTGATAGGGAATGTGAAATGCTAATTAATATACGTCATCGAAATCTTATCAAAATCATCAGCTATTGCAGTGAAATTGATTTCAAGGCCTTGGTATTGAACTACATGCCTAATGGGAGCCTCGAAAAGTGGTTATATTCTCAAAACTCTTCTCTGAATATCCTAGAGAGGATGAATATAATGGCAGATGTTGCAGCAGCAGTGGAATACCTTCATCATGGTTATTCAGTACCTATTGTCCACTGTGATTTGAAGCCCAGCAATATAATACTAGATGATGATATGGTTGCACATGTTGCTGATTTTGGAATTGCAAAACTCTTGGGTGGAGGAGATTCTATAACCCAAACCATGACCCTAGCCACAGTTGGGTATATGGCTCCAGGTGATATACTTGCTAATTTAATATCTTTAAATTCTATACATGTTGTCCTTAATTATGTATAATTTTCATTTCATCATACACATGAATATATAAGTATAATTCATAATGCAGAGTATAGATTGGAAGGAATGGTTTCAACAAGACGGGATGTGTACAGTTTCAGAATTGTAGTGATGGAAACATTCACTAGAAGGAAGCCAACATATGAGATGTAGAAATGAATATAAAGCAGTGGATTGCAAACTCACTAGTATTACCAGATGCAAAGATAGATGAAGTTGTGGATGCCAATTTGCTTGGGATTGTGACACAGCAGGAAGACGATGATCATGTGAGGAAGAGGGATTGCATATCAGCCATTATGAGATTAGCTCTTACTTGCTGTGTGGAATCACCAGAAGAGAGGATAAGTATGAAAGAAGCTGTAGCCACACTCAACAAAATCAAGACAAAGTTTTTGAAGGGCGCTGCTGCAGGAAGAGGTGTGCTGTTAAACCGTCCTCTTATTCAGCAGCGCTTCAATTAATGGGTCCTATCTCATGACATGTATTTCATGCACTTTGATTTGATTCAATTTCAGTCTTTAATTTAGACAATGTAAAGGAAGGCATGCCATTTTATTTTAGACTGATTATATGGCGGAGTGTGTAGACTTATTATATAATATACTAGTCTTGGTTGTTGTTATGGTATCAGTATGATAGGAGGGTTTGTTCTGTTGTGTTGGGGCTACAACCACGATCTCTTGGCAAACAGCAGCTGATTACGGCAGCCTGGCCTCCCACCCTATTTTTGTTGTGTGTAAACAAACAAATTGGGTTTGGACCCGTTTGGGAGCCTAAAAGCTAAAATCATACACACGTGATTGATATATATATATATATATGACGGGCCTAAGCCCAACAAAGCAAAAATACTTTATTGAAGTTGCGTATCCGGTTCTCAAAAAAAAAAAAAGTTATTTTATTTTATATTAAAAAAAGAGAAGTCACCAAAGATATTATGAATAAAGAAAGAAAAAATTGGCTGGAGAGGGTTCGTTTGCTTAAATTATGTTTAGAATATTCCCAAATGTTGGTTGGTTTTTTTTTCAAAGTTCCAATCCAAATGCGCTATCATTCCACGGAGGGTTTGGTTTGGAATTTTGTGGATTAGGTGATGCCTTATGTGCGTTATGTTAAACTAAACCTCCAAATTGATTCAAATTTAATGTATTTTATTCACACAAAGAAGAAAACACCAACCTGAACTGAGCCTAAGATCACGTGGCGAGGGCAGGTAAATTTGACCACGAGGACTCAAGTCATGTATGTATGTAGCCTGTATAGGTGGTGGTGGTGATCAGTGGATCAAGTTTGCTTGCCCTCCTTCCAAATCCATTGGAATTTATTTGATGCAGAATTGCAGACTGCAGAGCAATAACTAAAAGTTTTGATTAATTGCACTCTACCTCTTAAAAGTCTAATTCCAAGGGTCCCACCAAGCATGACCCATTATATATAATATATTTTCTAAGCTATTTAAATAAATTTAAAATGGTTGAAGAATATGAGTCCCATGTCAGAAACTTGACTAAATAAAATATAAAATATAATGAATAATTCTACTACGAATAATACCGAGGCCTTTTGTGATAAAATCTTATACTTACTGGAATTTGTAGGTGGTTAAAATAGAGATAATATCGATGTTGTTAGTAGTGAGTCGCTCGCCCGACTACCTGAAATTTAACAAAAATTAACTAGTACCATACCAAATGGTTTGGACTGGAGAGCTGAGTGGAAACCTTTCATATTAGCAGCAGGTTCATACTTGCAATTACTCCTAGAGAGGAGAGAACCTCTTTGACTGAGGTCAGAGGTGGATATGACTGTAAGGGTTTATAGTCAAAGGTAATGTAGTAGGAGGGCATTTTTTTCTTTCTGATATGAAGTTCATCTCTTGATCATTATGTAAATGTGAATTTGCTGCAGTTTTATAGCCATGGATTCAATGGGGCTGGTATTCATTCAACATTGCATATTTACCCAAAAGAAAATGTGGTCAACTGCCAAAAACACCACAGCAGTTTACCCAAAAGAAAGAAACACACATTTTCCAATCCATATCAGCACAGATTCAGGAAAGTCAACAAGCAAAAATTGTATATGCAAAACAAGGAACAACACATTTCAAAATGCTCTAAATTATGTAGAGTAATTGTCTTGTCATCTCCATTTTCCATACCAGCAGAAATTAGAGTGTCCAATCTTTGACAAGAAGCTCTAAACCAGAAACTTGGAAATGTCAAGAAGCCCAATACAGGAAAATGCTTGACAATTTATCTTCACAACTACACCCTCTGTCTGTCTGTCCCCTTCAGTTTCAAACTGTAATTAGCTAGCACCCACCAATCCTCTTCCCCCACTTGAAACAATTTATATTACTAAAACAAGACTAAAACACAGTAGAGTGGGTCATTTGGAATATTAGGTAAACCTAATATCATATCTTCTGGTAATTAATTTAACCAAGCTCAAAACAACAGATTTTTATTATTATTATTATTTTTAAAAAGTATAAGCAATAGTCTAAACTACAATGGGAGGAGTTTCTCTCACACATACTATCAATGTATCATGAGAGTTCGAACTTTAGAACATTGATTTGCAAGTCAATACTCTTTTCCGCTAAACTAAACCCTAAACAGAAAACTATTATTTGCCGCAAACCCATAAATTTGAATTAATTTCTGAAAAATTTGGGTCCCCAGGTGGCCAGGTATTTTTTCTTTTGACCGGGGTCCTCTCCCCCGCTAATTAATTTAAAGCCCAAATAAGCTCATTCGTCTCTGGCTGGGCCAAAATCTATCCAACCAATACAACAAATGACTGAAATTACCACCAAAACAAGAAAAACGCAAGATGTTTTTGGTTCACATGTAAACCATGTAATTTTGAAACTAAATAAGCCATGTAGAATTTCTTCACTGGGGGAAAAATTGAAAGAAATTTCGCAATCACCGCATCGGTCACCGGTGAAATTTAAGAACCTTGAGTGAGTCAGAGCAGCTAGTCAACCAAACCTGTCCAACTTCTGTTGTCCTTCAGTTGTCCTCCAACTGTTACACTTCCTCCCGCCGTTAGATTTTTCCGTTAAACTTAACGCCTTAATCTCCCACTTCACTTGCTCCACTTACTAAACCCATAACATTGACTAGTGCCTGCCCCTGTTTTCTCATCCCTCCATTTCTCTCTCTCTCTCTCTCTCTCTCTCTCTCATGGACAACAAAACAGGAGGCAGAGTTTGAGAACTGAAACCCAGTTGCAGAAAAAGAAAATGAGAATCTTGTTGAGGTTTTTGGTTCTTCTGGTGCTGATTACAATATCAGAATCCAAATGCAACAGCACAGACCAAGAACAGGTCTCCAAGGCTTTCAAATCAGTCGCAGGTTTCAATCTCTCTTGGCTTCATCAACAAGGATATCAATCCAACTGTTCAAGCCCGCCCATCACAGAAATAAAGCTCCCCTCCAGAAATCTCAGCGGGATCATATCATGGAAGTACCTCAGAAACATGTCACAGCTGAGCACCCTTGATCTCTCAAGCAACAATCTCAAAGGCTCTGTTCCAGGTTGGTTTTGGTCTCTTTCAAGCTTGGTCCAAGTCAATCTGTCCAAGAACAGGTTCGGAGGGAGCTTTGGACCCGAACCCATCTCGGGAAATGGCTCCTTTTCCTCGGTCCAGGTGCTCAATCTCTCAACCAACAGGTTCACCAACTCTGTTCAGCTTTCTGGTTTCCCAAAGCTTAGAGTTCTTGACCTTTCTCACAACGATTTAGGCACTCTGCAACCATCTGCTTTCGCCAACCTCACCAATCTCCAGTACCTCGACATCTCAAGCTGCAAAATTTCAGGCGACTTGAAACCCATCTCTGTTTTGCGCACATTGAGCTACCTAGACGTCTCAGACAACAGCATCAATGGTACTTTCCCTTCAGATTTCCCTCCCCTTAGCAGCCTCAAATTCTTGAACATTTCGTTCAATAACTTCACAGGCATAGTTGGGTCAGAAAAGTACCAAAAATTTGGCAAAGCCGCTTTCATCCACGCCGGGAAAGATCTCACCTATTTCAACACTTCCAAAACCAAAGCCCCAAGCTTTCACAATTCCGTCGCAAACCCACCTCACAAACCCCTCCAAAAACACAAACCCACAAACCAAATTAAACCCATCCACAGAAAAACCAAAAAGACTCTGATTATTATCCTATCTTCTGTATCTACATTTTTAGTCCTTGTATCCATAGGCATTTGCATAGCGTACAGATGTAGAAGAAAGCAAGTGGCCAAAAAGCACAAATGGGCAATCTCAAAACCGGTCCAATTGGTCCCTTTCAAGATCGAAAAATCAGGGCCCTTCTCTTTCGAAACAGAGTCAGGGACTTCCTGGGTTGCAGACATCAAAGAGCCGACTTCAGCTCCGGTGGTTATGTTCGAGAAGCCATTGATGAACCTCACCTTCAAGGACCTGATCGCTGCCACGTCGCACTTCGGCCGGGACTCCCAGCTCGCCGAGGGCAGGTGTGGGCCCGTCTACACCGCCGTACTCCCCGGAGACCTCCACGTGGCGATCAAAGTCTTGGAAAACGCCAGAGACGTTGATTATGATGACGCGGTGAACATGTTTGAAAATCTGTCGAAGCTCAAGCACCCCAACCTGTTGCCTCTCTCCGGTTACTGCATTGCAGGTAGTGTACAGTCACTCTCATCTTCCACACCAAACGCATTTAATGAAACACACGGGTTTTTATTACAATGTCGTAAATGACAAAGCCCGTACGTACGACACTGGTTTTGGCACCATCGTCACGTAAATTTAGTTATTAGCACAGCACAGAACAGGCAATGGTTGCAAAACATGTAAATTTGTTACGGTGCGAGTGCTTTACACCGAATGGTTTCTCCATTTTTTTTTTTTGGCAGGGAGAGAGAAGCTGGTGTTATATGAGTTCATGGCAAACGGGGACTTGCACAGGTGGCTGCACGAACTTCCAACCGGGGAGCCCAACGTGGAGGACTGGACTGGTGACACATGGGAGCAATACGGGGCCTACTCACCCGAAAAGAAGGGTTGGCTCACGCGCCACCGCATTGCAGTCGGGATAGCGCGTGGACTGGCGTACCTACACCACGCTGGGTCCAAGCCCGTAGTCCACGGCCACCTCGTAACTTCCAACATATTGTTGGGGGCAGATTTCGAGCCAAGAATAGCGGATTTTGGATTGCGAAATGTCGGAAGCCACATAGATATTGGTGGCAGTGGGGCGGAGACGGATGTGTATTGTTTTGGGGTGGTGTTGATGGAGCTGTTGACGGGGAGGACCGGGACGGCGGAGATGGTGGTATGGGTGAGAAGGCTGGTGAGGGAGGCTCGTGGGATGGACGCGCTGGACGAGAGGTTGAGAGAGAGTGGGGAATTGGAGAGGAAGATGGTGGAGAGTCTCCGAGTTGGGTACTTGTGTACGGCAGAGTCACCTGGGAAAAG